GATCCCCTGGCAGTCAGGGCTGGGTAGTGACTTGTCTCTGAGCCTTCAACTCCCCTTTCCAGACCCTGACGTCCTCAGCTCTCCCCCAAAGCATGGAAGGTCCATTTCCTCTAGCAAGTTCCTCGTCCCGTAACTCACAGAGGTTCTGCTTTCCTGCTGGGCCCTGACGGGCACACTCATGTTGAAACCGTCAGCACAATGCAGCAGTGGCAGGGCCCCCCCTGCACAGGGACAGAATGAGCATCAGAGGACACGCTGGCGGAGGAGCTGCGGAATGGTCCTCCGGCTGACAGCCCCGGCAGCATGGCCACGCTGCTGATTCTGAACTCGAGGCCCTGAGGCTGGGCCGTTTACCTCCCGGCTTGTCCTTCCCCTGCCCCCTTTACCTCCGTCCTGTCCTTCCAGCCTCCAGACGTATGGAGGGAAGACACTTCTTTCATTTTCCCCCACGTGTGCGATCCTTTGGTACAGCACTCCTAGGAAACCAATCTACTGGTATATGCTCGTATCGCCGCTTTACAGGGAAGGAAATGGAAGTGAATTAACTCGCATGGGTTCTGTTTTTACGCAAAAAACCCATATACGTTCGATAGACGTAAAGCTACCGAGTGTCCTTAAGAGAAATGACCAGGGACCACAACGGGAAAATCAGGACAAACGTGCAGCCCGCGTCTCTCCTGGAGGAAACCCAAAACGAGTCCAGATCCTTTCACTTAATGTGCGACTTCACACACAAACACCAGAGCTCTTTTATTTGGGTCAGGGACCCCTCTTGGAAGGAAACGGCTGGCAAAACGGAACTCAGGGGAACATGAGGAGCGGCTCCATGCAGCTCGGTGGAAGAGACCGGCCCAGCCAGAGCCAGCCCCAAAGACGCTCCACTGACCGTCTGGGGAGACTCTGAGGAGATTATCTTAATAGAGCGACTAGGGGCAGGAAGCAGGTGTAGCCTCTTAAAATCTAGGCGTCAGAGGGGGGAGTTCTCAGGACAATGTGGTTTGTAGGAAAAACCAAGAGTTGCATTTTAATCCTTCATCGTTTGGTTTCCTCTGAAGGTGCTGACATGGCAAGTCCAGAGAGCAGTAAACAGTCACAGGTTTCTTCTGAGATGCCAACATCTTAATTCTCAAGTCTACCCACTTCCCAAAAAACCAAGGAGCCATGCCTGGACCTGAGGGTTTGATCCACTTACCCAGGGGAAAGATCTCTAACCCACACCGTCACCAGACCATGAGGCTTTTCTTGCTGTTTTTTGGGGGAAAAAGTTTGCATTTTTCCGTAGTTGCAAAATAATAATAATAATAAATAATAATAATCAATGCTTATGTACAAAACTTGAAAGGGCACAAGGAAAATGAAAGGAAAGCATAAATACCGCCATCTCACTTCCCACATATTGGCATTTCCCCCAGTATTTTAGATACAGCTACAGGCGGAAATACGTAATTCAAAATCAAACTGCCTGTCGCTGCTCCTGCGTGTTCATGGGAGGCAAGATTCGTATTTGCAGAGAAAAAAAATAAAATAGCTAACATTCCGTAGTATTTACTTTTGGCCGAAACATTATTCCACGCACTTTACACATGATTAGCTCTAAGGACGTTTGCCTATCACCACGTTCAAAGATACTCTTCTGAACTGAACTCACTTAATTCTCAGCAACCCCAGGATGTGAGTGCCATCCTTGTTTCACGGATAAGGAAACGGAGGCAGGGGAAGGACCATGCCCAGGCCACACAGCCGGGAAGTGGGAGAGCTGGGGTTTGCTAAAGAAGCAAGCGATGGGCTGGGCCTACACAGGCAGGACTTTCTCTTAGAGGCTGGTGGAGGCGGGAGGGACTCACCATTCAGTTTCTCCGCGTTGGTCTCCTCTGTCCTGGGCTGATTGCTGTCCGAGTCATCAGGGAGTCATGGTTTGTACTCTTGGGGTGGAGAGCACGAGATAAAGAGGGGGTAGGGGATGGAAGAGAGGAGAACCTAGAGAGCCCGCCTGCCCTGGCTCCAGCTCTATGGCCATGTCCTTGGCCAAGGCCACTCCCACGCCCGCCCACGCCCACACCCACTGTGGCCACGCCCGCCCACGGCCTCTCTGTGGTCAGAGCCTAGGATCCTGGGGATGCTACTGCCGCAGAGGTAGCCGCGTGGTGCTCTGAACACTAAGGAAAAGCCTGCCACACACACACATTTGGAGAAATTCAGGGAAGTAGCTAAATCTCTCAAGTTTTGGGTACCACTTGTAAAGTAATGATAATATCTCCTACCTAACTGTGTTAACAGGATGTGACGAAATAATAAAGCCAATATACTGGACTCTTCCCCTTCAGCGATCTAGCGAAGGGTCAGCGAATTTTTCTCAAAAGGGCCACGTTGAAAATAGTTTAGGCTCTGCAAGTCATACAGTCTCTCTTGCAACTACTCAGCTTTGTTGTTGCAGCCCCAGAGCAGCCAGAGTCAATGCATTAATGAATGAGCATGGCTGTGTCACTAAAACTTTATTAAAACAGTCAGTGTGCAGGATTCGCCTCACAGGCTGTAGTTTGCCTGCCCTCCACCTGGATGAGAGAGCAGTCAGCAAATTAGAGCTCATGGACCAAATCTGGCCTGCTTCCTGTTTTTGTAGCTCGTGAGCTAAAGATGGTTTTTACATTTGAAGAAAAAAAAATGGTTGGAAAACACAAAAGAAGGCTATTTATGACATGTGAGACTTATATGAAATTCAAGTTTCAGTGTCCGTAAATAAAGTTTTATTGGTACGCACTCATCTGTTTACATTTGAGCTATGGCTGCTCCCATGCATGCTACAATGGCACAGATTTTTTTTTTTTTAAATATATTTTATTGATTTTTTTACAGAGAGGAAGAGAGAGGGATAGAGAATCGGAAACATCCATGAGAGAGAAACATCGACCAGCTGCCTCCTGCACACCCCACCCCAGGGATGTGCCTGCAACCAAGGAACATGTCCTTGGCCGGAATTGAACCCGGGACCCTTCAGTCCGAAAGCCGACGCTCTATCCACTGAGCCAAACCAGTTTCGGCACAATGGCACAGATTGTAGCCACGGGGCACCCTCTTTGATCTACAATGCCGATCAGTAATTGGACTGGCCTTGTTCCTAGATCCTGGGAAGTATCTTCTATGTTCTCGGTTTCCCATGTGACAGGAGTATCCCTGTTATGCTTGGTGGTTACTGATGGTTTATGCCAGTGGTCGGTAAACCTATTCGTCAACAGAGCCAAATAGCAACAGTACGATTGAAATTTCTTTTGAGAGCCACATTTTTTAAATGTAAACTTCTTCTAACGCCACTTCTTCAAAATAGACTTGCCCAGGCCGTGGTATTTTGTGGAAGAGCCACACTCAAGGGGCCAAAGAGCCGCAGTTTGCCCACCACAGGTTTATGCTAATGAGGTAATTTACAGGGAACTTATGCCGGACAGTTTATGCTAATGAGATGAGGCAGAATGGGGACAGGCCACACCAGGAAGACCAATCACGTGATTAGAACCATAAGGGGGCGGAAATCAGCATGATCTCCGGGGAGGGGAGAGGAGGGAAGCTGGAGATTGACTTCATCCTCTTGCTCATTGAGTCAATGAATCACGTCTGCATATGAAACTCCAATAAAAACTCTTAAACACAGACCGTGGGTGTGCTTCCCTGGTTGGTGAAACGCATTCAATGTGCAGAGAGACTGGCACAGCCCGAGGACCAGGAAAGCTTCACGCTCGCCACCCTCCAGATTTCTCCCTATGCTTCTCTTCATTGGGCTAATCCTGACTTGCATTTTTTTTTTTTTATAATAAGACTGTTAGTACAAGCCTGTGTGGCTGTGTCCAGCTTACCTTCCTTCTGCAGAACCCTGGCCCTACTCCAACCTCAAGCTCTGGCCCTCAGTCCTTGCACTCTGCTTGTCACCCCACACAGGTCGGAGAGATGGGTCATCAGAGCGTTGCAACCCTTTGTGCCCCATCGGCACCTTATGCATTTGTATGACCCACCTCAGGCCCCAGGCTTCATGCCCTGTGCTTAATTAATCTGCTTCACGCAGAAAAGGGTGTGGGGAGAGGCTTCCGCAAACCTTCTCTGGCTTCTTAAGGGACCATGGTTGCCAAGGTTTCGTGGCTTCCACGATCTGGGTTAGGGCCAAACGGCCATGGCGGCTCCCTAGTGCCATTTCCTTTTCCTTGTGTCTGACTCTACCCCTAGTCGCTGGCAGGCGTGCCCGAGAACAATCCTTGCTCACTAACAGAAAGAGGGAAAAGGCTGGTCAATCCTGAAGCTCTGAAAGGTCAGAGCCAGCCACTCCCTATCTAATGGAGACAGTGGTAATAACTGAGGCCACCTCCCCATCTTGTAATCCTGTAAATCTTTACTGATATGATAATCACATTATTACCTGCCTAAGGGCCTTGGGTGTCTCCCAAAGCTGCTTAAGGGGAATGGGTGTGTCCCACAGCCTCCATAAAAGGGATGGCAAGGCCAGAGCCTGGTGGTAGTCTTCACACTAGAGGTTGACTCCTGGCTGGCTCCCCATTTTTCCAAATTAATCTTTTTCCAGTCTCTTCATTTTAGTGTGCGGCCTCCTCCAGAAACCGGACCCTGAACCAAGCGAGTTGTGTTAAGGGATCCCACACAGGCGCCCTCCCGGGTTCTGACAGCGCCCTCCTCTCTGGGGATACACGAAGGTGGTGCCTGGTGCTGAGACCCCTCACCACCTCTCTTTCCCTGCCCGATCCCACCCAGCAGCTCTGAGCCCAGAACCCTCAGCTCCCCGACTTTCCCCCAACCTCTCCCAGAGCCTCACACGGGGTGCAGCTCGGGGTACAGCTCCTCCTCCGGTGCCAGCCCGTCCCCCTTCACTGTCTGCACCCTCTTCCCCCAGCGCCCCTGGGTCACTCCGAGGGCGGCCTTTGAAAAAACCTTCCTGGAGGAGGAGTGGAGCAGGACTGTGGATTTTTTTTTTTTTTTAATTGAGGTGCAAGAGCTAGGAAGAGACGATGGCTTCCTTCTGTGGCAACGACGAGGACCTGACTCTCCCCAGAGCTGCTGTCCACAAGATGATCAAAGAGACGTTCCCCAACGTCCGGGTGGCCAGCGAGGTCCGGGAGCTGGTGGTGAACTGCTGCACTGAATTCATTCACCTCATCTCTTCGGAAGCCAATGAGATTTGCCACGAATCGGCGAAGAAGAACATCTCCCCAGAACATGTCATGCGAGCCCTAGAAAGTTTGGGCTTTGGCTCTTACATGAGCAAAGTGAAAGAAGTCTTACAAGACTGCAAGACGGTCTCGTTAAAAAGAAGGAGGAAAGCCAGTTCTCGTCTGGAAAACCTCGGCATTCCCGAAGAAGAGTTGCTGCGGCAGCAGCAGGAACTGTTTTCCAAAGCTAGGCAGCAACAAGCAGAACTGGCCCAGCGGGAGTGGCTTCAAATGCAGCAAGCTGCCCAGCAAGCACAGCTCACTGCTGCCTCAGCCAGTGCGTCTAACCAGGCAGGGTCTTCTCAGGATGAAGACGATGATGATGATGATGCTATCTGAAATTCACCAGCTGAGGTTCTGTCTCCTCTGCACAAGGAAACTGCGAAAGAAATGCTTATCTGTAACTTTATGTGCATCTGGATGGACTTGCCACTGGTACCCTGGGGATGTCTGCTATTGGTTTTCATCTGCTGTGTGCTATTCGTGTGAAAACTGTCTCTTTGAACAATTGATAATGTATGGTTCGGTATAATATCAATTTTGAGCTTTTAATGGTGTTTATGAGATTTTTTAGGTAGCACTGAGTCCTTTATTGATCAATAAACAGTGTGACAGAAAAAAAAATAATAAGACTGTTACCATGAATATAGCACTTTCCTGCTTTGTGTGTCACTCTAGTGAACTAGTGAACCTCAGGGAGTAAAGAAAGCCCCAAATCTGTAGCCAGATGGTGAAAGGTAGATACCTTTATACAGAGAAGAAGGGAGCAGGATAGAGAGCTAGAAATATCGATGAGAGAGAAACATCGACCAGCTGCCTCCTGCACACTCCTCACCAGGGATGTGCCCGCAACCAAGGTACATGCCCTTGACCGGAATCGAACCTGGGACCTTTCAGTCCGCAGGCCAATGCTCTATCCACTGAGCCCAACAGGTTTCGGCTAGATTTTTTTTTAATTACTTGAAGATGTGAGCACTTTAGGAGCAACATTAGCAGTCAATTAAAAAAAAAAAAAAACTAAAAAAAAGCAAAGGATTTTGAGTGGTTTTCTTTGGCCCCTGATGAGTTGATAGATGTTACCGATAATATTCAATTGCTAATCTGAGAAGTCAATGCCACGGCTGAAGTGGCTAAAGAATTAGCCTCTATGAATAGTCTGTACAGAACAACTGAAAGGGAGAATATTTTCCAAAAAAAAAAGTTGAGAACACTAATTCGGTACAGCCTGAAGTGGAATCTGCTAAAGTGTATTACAAATGATGATGGGGGAGAAATAATATGTGTGGAGCAAAAAAATGGGGAAATTTACAAAACTTGTGAAAATTCAGGGTATTAAAAACCTATGGTTATTCGTTGTGCTGTTTATCAGCTGTTACGTGGAGGAAATCTGTGAATCTATCCTCTGTTATTAAACTAGTCATGTCAGTTGTTGGACTTAGCTATTGCCAGTTCCATGAATTTTTGTCAAAAATGAAAGCTAAGTCCTGGTTGGTGTGGCTCAGTGGTTGGAGCATCAGCCCACACACTGAAAGGTCAGGGGCTTGATTCCTGGTTAAAAACTAGCATAACTTTTGACTTCCCCAAAACTGAACCACTAATAGCTTACCATTGACCAGAAGCCTTATTGATAACATAAAGCATTGATTAACACATATCTAGCATGTTGTATGTATTATAATACCGTACTCCTACAATGCAATGAGCTAGGGGGAAAATGTTATTTAAAAATCATAAGGAGGAGAAAATACATTTCTAGAATTGACTGAAAAAATTGCATATAAGTAGACCCATGCAATTCAAACCCATGTTTTGAAGGGTCATCGGCAGTTTGAAAGCCAGTGGTTCGCGTGTAAAGGAGTGTGTGCTTGTTCGTCTCAAAGCCAAATGGCCTTCTCCTTTTGGTTTGGCTGCTCAGTTCACCCCAGAGGAACCCTCTGCTGGGTTTCCACACCCCTGCTTTGACCCAATTCCCAAACCTTCATTTCTATTCTTCGCACAACCGGGGTTCCTCTGTACGATGGATGGCGCAATAGTTTCCTGGGTCTGCCCTAACGAACTAGCACAAACTGGATGGCTCATCACAGCAGAAATCCATTCTGTCAACAGTTCCAGAAGCCAGAAGTCTGAAATCCAGCTTCCGGCAGGGCCAGGCTCCCTCCCAAAACGGCTGGGGAGTCTGCCCTCGCCTCCTCCTCGCTTCTGGTGATGCGCCAGCAATCTCCGTCATCCCCCGCCCAGCAATCCGCTCCTCTGCCTTGACGTGGCATCCCCCGGTGTCCACCCATCGTCTTGTGTGTTCTAATTTCCCCTTTTTATAAGGACACCAGCACGATTGGATGAGAGCCCACCCCAGTGACCTCATTCTGACTTGATTCTCTCTGTAAAAGCCCCATTTTCCACAGAAGATCGTAGGCTGAAGTACAGGATTGGGACTTTTCAGGGGGACAGACTCAACCCATAACAGAGGGCAATGAAGAACGTCCCATCTGCTGGGGTTTAGAAGACTGTTGAGCACGCCAGGCCTCGGGGCTGGGGAAGGGTGTGAGTCCCTGCGCCGGGTTGGAGAAGGGAACCAGCATGTGCCGAGTGCCGTTGCGTGCATGGTTCTGGAGTAAGCACATGGCAGACACCGCCTGTTAAGTCCACACCATCCCCTTGGGGTGCAGGTGTTATTGTGCCCATTTTACAGATGAGAAAACTGAGGCTGGGGCAGGTCAGTAGGCTAGGATTTGATCAATTTGGGATTCTCCTTGTGGTCTGCTCAGGAAAGTGGGTTTGCTGTTCGTGCCGGTCACTATGTCGCTTCCACGCCCACGATATCCCTGCACTCTTGGTGAGTTTAGAATCTAGTCAGTGATGAGGGTGATAGTGTATCCCCTCTCTTAGCTTTAGACATGACTCACTGGTTTGCATCCTTTTTCTGGACTTAGCCATGAGTATCCTATGAAAGCAGAAGTGACATAATTTGCCCTTTTTCACAAGGTTGTCACACGGTCAGTTTTCTAACCAGGCACTGATTTGAAATGCTGATTTCCGGGTAGCCAACATGTGCAGGAAAATGTTTGCAAATGAGGAACACCTGCAACTGCATGCCACTGAGACACGTCAGAGATGCTATGAGACATCTTCACCCTGGGGCAGGCCCTGAGTCTGGGCGTGCACACATATTTTCTTGCACAAATTCGTGTACGGGTGGGGTCCGGCCAGCCCGCCCACATGAGGCCAGGTGGGGGAGGGGTTGCCGGCAGTTAGCGGGCTGGCCCCACCCCTGATGGGAATGAGGGGGTGCCAATCAGGGGCAGGACCGGCTGGGAGGAGGGGCCTCGGGCGGTTGGTGGTTCGACCCACCCCCTGGTCGAATTCCTGGTTGAGGGGACAATTTGCATATTAGCCTTTTATTATATAGGATGCCAAATGAGATTGGTATTTTGGTTGCAGTTCCAGATTTTAAAAAAATGGAGGCCTAGGATTTTTGTTTGATTTGAAAGCCCCTGCTTTGAATTATGATGGCCCACCAGTTACACACCCACACACACACACACACACACACATACACACACACCAAAAATAACTAACACTACCAGAGTTCAAGGCTACCGGGATCCAAAGACCTTCGCCGTGAGTGTTGAAGCCCCGCCCTCCAGAACCAGGCCTTCCCCCCTGGTTCCTGTAGAACCAGGCACTACAGGAACGGCTCATCTGCCAGGGGCCTTTCCCCGAGCCAGACCAGGTGGCTATTTCGAATTGAGTGTCAACATACTGCACGCAGACGGAGCTTTCTCGTGGGGCTGCACTTCCTTCGCCTCCCCACCCACCCCCACCCTCTCTGTGCCTTGTGCTTGTGAACAGCGCAGGCTTACCCAGCACTTTTTTATTTTTAGGATCTCAAGATGTTGGAACAAGACATTTTTATTATTGCCACGTGCTCCTGATGGGGGAAGTCAGAACCACAGAGACTCTTAGGATGGTGGCCGACTTGGATGGCTTTGCAGCAAACAATTCAAAACAACAGCAGCCTTGGCGGGCAATGTGCCTGACTGGGCGGGGGGGGGGGGGGGGGGCTGCCCGCTAGATGGGCTGACCTGTCCTGGGGGCGGGGGTGGTTGTGGGGGTGGGAGGTGGGGGGTTGATCTGTGTGAAAACAGTTCCTTCCTGCCTTTGCTCTGAGGAGGGCACTCAGGACAGGTGGGGCCCACAGCTGGGCTGCCTCGGCATTAGCCATTTTAATAAAAAAAATTTTTAGAAGGCACACCCCAGCATGTGTACCTTTAAAAAAAAAAATATATATATATATATATATATATGTGTGTATATGTATATATATATATACACACACACACACACACACACACACACACACACACACACATATATATATGATTGATTTTTTACAGAGAGAAGGGAGAGGGATAGAGAGTTGGAAACATCAGTGAGAGAGAATTATCGATCAGCTGCCTCTTGCATATCCCCTACTGGGGATGTGCCCTTGACCGGAATTGTACCTGGGACCTTTCAGTCCGCAGACCAACGCTCTCTCCACAGAGCCAAACTGGTTTCGGCGGCATTAGCCATTTTAATCATTTCAGATTCACTAGGAATGGCAGTTTTTTGTTGCAGTCTCTGTTGTGTTTTTTTTTTCTTTCTTTCTTTCTTTCTTTTCCCACAGACATATTAATATGGATGTGCCTGGCAGGTTCCGAGCTTTGAATAGTGCTCGTTAAGTCACAGCTGCTGGAATGCTTATCAATCTCTGCCTTTCTTCCTCCCAAGCGGGTTTCCCAGCGGAATGAAAATGGACTCTTCCAGACAAAAAAGCAGCCTGGCCCTCCGGGGAGGGGAGCCTGAGATCCAGGGACGCTCTTTGCTCAAAAGAAACGTTTGAGCCATGAAGACATTCCGTTCAGCGGTCACCCTCACAAAAAAGAAACCCCTTGAGCTAACCTGGTGGGGGAACATTCCATCCAGTGGTTCCTGCAGGGGTTTTTCTGCACCCCACCCCCACCCCACCCCACCCCGCCCCCTCTCCTTGGAGGGAACAGCCCACCTGCTCTGGGATGTTCCCTTGTTTCTCCCCACTCACCAGTTCCCCTGCATCCCACACTGACCTCTGCTGAAGTGCATGCTTTGTTTTCCAAACTCAGTCCTGTGTTTACTGATTATTATTTTTTTTTTTTAAGAGCTAAGGGAAAAGCTGATTCATTGCTACCCCAGAGGCATTCCTCAAGGGATCATAATACCCTCAAGACCAGACTCTAACCGGTTTGGCTCAGTGGATAGAGCGTTGGCCTGTGGACTGAAGGGTCCCAGGTTCGATTCCGGCCAAGGGCATGTACCTCAGT